CTCTCGAACGGCTTAGCCAGTTCGTTAACTCTGGAACCTACTGATGACGCGACATGGGTTAAAACGAGCGGTTTCACCAATGGGTTGGGTACCGAGGTCCAGCCGAAATGCTTTATCCCAGCCCCGCACCCTGTTGCGAGTGCTCAGTCATCTCCATCCCGGCTGGCAGAACCTCCAGCTTCCCCGTGACAGCTTCTCCAAACTGGTTCTGCATTGTTAGCCCGGGAGTAGCTGGGAGACCTGAAAGGGTGGGGACAGCATTGCATTCATTACTCCCTCACACCAGCATTGAAGTGGGCCAGCATTGATCCTTGTCGGCTTCCTTCACTGAGGATCATGCTGTTACTGTTCATGACACTGTCCCCTGAGGTCTTTGGGGGCTGGATCAGGCCCTCATCAGTTGTTCGACTGATGTATGATGGCATTCTTGTACCAGGGTCTGAGTGGGGCCAACTGTGTTACACGATTGGCTTGCATGTGGCCAGTAACTCCTTAGCTAAGGGTGGAGTTACTGTCTTTTTTTATTTTTTCAAGCTCCTAGAAATGTTTGCTATGCCACAACCAAGTAAAGACCCAGGCTTTGCTCTGAGGAATGGGTGTAGCATAACAAAGTGAGCAGTATAAACACCCTCTCCTCTTTCCTTTACGCTCCTTCCCCTTTGGGTAAGATTGTGAGGTTGATCAGGTCACAGCTGCTTGTTTAATTCCTTTTGTTACTTGTTGGCTGCCTTACTCTCCTGTCATGTCTCAGAGATTGCACATCAAAGATGAGGTTTCTGGAGGAATTGGAATGAGGGGAGAAAGGTGTCCTGGCATATATATCAGTGAAGAAGAGATAAAGGGTGCCAAGGCATAATCTCCACTCTGGCATGATAAATGCAGTAGGTCTGCAAAAGTACCCAAAAAGTACCTTATCTTTCCAGGCTCTGGTATAAAGCTTCCCCCAAAAATCTTAAAAACCTAGATTTTGGGGATAAAAATCCGATGCCACCACTCAAGTAATGATAAGAAAGCCAGAGGAGAGATCACTTGGGAAATCTCAGCCCTATCGTAAAACCAGGACATAAAAATTAACCAATACCAGGTTAATAAAAAGGAAAGAGAGCTTTTATCTTCACCACAATACTCCTGATATAAGCATAATCATTAGATAAGTCACCAATTAATATACTCATGGGGGATTCCACCATGGGCCAAAACTTAGTTATAAAGTAGAGGAAAACCCATTTTTAAATGCACAGACATCAGATTCCTATTCCCAAACCATAAAACAATAAAACCTAACGGATTTATAGATAGTGAAGATTCTTTTTTTGGAGAGAGACATTTTGTCTGCCCCCCCCTTAGTAGCTGGAGAGAAACTGCTCTGGGACAAAGGAGGGAAAAACCAAAAATTCCTTTGTCCCCGTTTGAAATTTCTACCTACATTTCTGTTGGCTGCCTGCTACCTGGTTAAGTAAGTGATATAGTTAACTCCTTAGTCCCCAGGCTGCTGGCTAAACCTCATGGTCATGACAGATGGTAAGAGCAGATGAGCTGAGGGTGTATGAAGGAGCACTGCAGAGATGCAGGAAAGGGCAGCATGATGTAAGAGGACGGGAACTTTGTGGAGCACAATGCAGTGGGGAGTCAGTGGATGACACATGGTGGGCAACTTCGTGAGAGGAATGGGTGTGAGAGCGAACTTTGACAGCAATGGTTTGAACATCATGGAGGGAATACGGTTGGTGCTAAAATGCCTGACAGGAAGTGATTGCAGTAGCCAAGGCAAAAGGAGCAGTCTGTGACAACGACAGAGAAGAAGGGGGTGGTTGAGAGACTGCAGCCTGACCTTAGCTTGGCCAAGAGGGTTGGGCTGAAGACCTCTCCTCCAAGTTTCTGTTTCTAAGCTTTGCTTTTCACTCAGAGCTTCTCAGCCTCTCGTTCTGGGTTGAAGCACACATTGTTGGCCTCAGCCTGTTGGCTCTGCGGGCCCATGCTGCTGGACACATTGAGATAAGACTTTCTTTGGAATGCTTACAACTCAAAAATGGTCCAGTGGGTGATGTGTGTATGGGAGATGGGAAGTCCTGGTTAGTTTTTACAGTTTAGTTCCGCGAGGGGTAAGCAAGACTAGTGAGTGGGCCACATAAACGGCCCTCCTTTGTCTTGGAATGATTGCCAGTGGTGGGCAACCTATTCCCCCTGTGGCTTGTTCACCCTCACTCTGCCCCCTCCTTCCACACCTCACGCACTGGAGCCCCACAAAACCTACTCTTCCCCTCCCTCCCAGCTCTTTCAAAGTGCCATGAATCTGCTGGTTCTTTCTCATCCCTGCTTCTGCTCTGCCTCCTTCCCAGAGCATGAACCCCACAGATCAGCTAGTCTCTCTTAGGCCTTAGGCAAGCAGCATAGAATCGACTTGCAGAGAAGAGCAGAAATGGATTTGTGCCTTATTCCTGCGTTGTGATGGACAAAGGCAGCCTGGAATTTATCTTTTTTCTTTGTTTTTAACTTTGAAGTGTTGCCTTCCTTGCCTTTTGCCAGAGGACTCCTTGGAGGACCAGAGAACTGGAGTGGGAGTTTTCTCATTCTCATGTTATGTTTATAAAAAGCACATGGGATCTTTTTCAGGGGAAAAGGCAATACACTATGTTTATTGAAAATACGACATGAAAAGCAACCCCCCCTCCCCCCCCCAGTAGACTACGTTCTTATAGTTACCAAAATCTTCAGAGGGGAGGCTGAGTTAGTCTGTAAAACTTAAACAACAAATAGTCTAGTAGCACCTTAAAGACTAACAAAACATGTAGATGGTATCGTGAGTTTTTGTGGGCACAGCCCACTTCCAGTTACCAGTCTGTCGTTCGTGACTCAGGTCAGTCTAGTGACCTGTTAGATTGAACATGAGTGAGGAGCTGAGTTTTGTCTGAGGCACTACGCAGGACTGAGCCCAGAGAACCACCATACTTATACTTGTACGTTCCCATTGGCGTATACAGGTTTTGCAATGTCGTACTGCTGCAATCATCCTCCCTTAAATGGAGTTAGCCTCAGAGTTTTCCACAATTATCCTTTGATTGTTGTCGGGCTTCCCATCATTTTCCCTTGTTTGTCGTCTCACCTTTGGGAGTGTCTGCTCGTCTCCAAAGTTCCTCAGCTCTGCTAATTCATTTAGCCTAGGGCACAATGGATATTTTCTGATCCTCTCCAAGTTTCTCCCACTGTTTGGACCATCTGGGCATCTGAGACATTTTTCATGCTTATCCTTAACTATGCACACAATCTCCGCTCATGCTAAAGAATTTTACAGAGAATTTCAGACAAGACTACATTTTAGAAAGGGTTATATAGTTTCTAAAGAAATAACAAAAGCTCTTACACAACTTAGTTTGCAATGCAGACGAGAAGAACAATTTAATTTGTAATGTTAACAAGAAGCAAGACTTTATAGCAAACATTGTAATAAAACCAGGTCCTAAGATCTAGAACTGACCTTCCTGCTAATCCTGGCAGGGTGAAACAGAAACATACAGAACTTATACATGCAAATTACTATCTAGGACTTATTTTCATCATTATACTTAGTCTTATACCAACGCTAAAAGACTACATTTTGGCTACACTCAGTAGAATGGACTTGCTGTTGTTTTCAGTAAGAGCTTTCACATCAGGTGTCTAGCAGCAGTCTGCGTTAAATGGGTGTGAACAAAAATTGAGCCAAACTGAAGAGTTATAAACAGTCTAACCATCCCTTTCCCACAGGTGCTCATGTTAGAGGTCTCTTGTGATGTCAGTAATCTCATGAGTTCTCCAGGAAAACCAGGAAAGGCAACGTCTGGTATTTCTCATGTTCAAAAAAGACCGTTTAAAAACCCAGATAACTCTACCGTTTTGGGTGAAAAGAAGGCTTGCCAGGGCTTTATGCAGCATAAAGAAGCAAACAAAACACACCTATTGTTTTATTTGCAGGCCATGTTTCAATAGAAAGGGGCCTAGCCTGGGCCAGGAGCCAGGCATGTGAAGGGACCACATAAGTGGGCTGATACTAGGGTGGGTGACGGGGCACTCAAGGAAGCTGTGTGAATAGCTCTGTGTCCCTCTGCCCAGCAGCAGTAGCGACTCTCTAGCCGTCCTCCTAATGCTGCTGCTGTTGACTCTCCCACTGCAGCAGCTTCACGCAGCATCCCAGGGGCAGCCACAGTTTCCATAAAGTGGAGCGGAGTGCAGCTGCTCTTGCTTTTGCTATAGCGTTGCGGTGTTCAGAAACCCTGGGCCCCGACATTGTGCACATGATATTGCATTATGGTGCTCAGATCCTGTCCGTGCTGCTCTGATGGCAGAAAGGGGGCAAAAGCCCTGGGGAATCTTTAGCACAGCACCGGCATGGACAGCCTCATACACCCCCATGTGCAGCACCTGCCAAAGAGATGGCTGGAGAGTAGCCAGAGATGGGAGAGGTAGTCATTGCAAGAATTCTTGAGCTTCAGAGAAGCCCATCAACAACTGGTGCCAGCTTCTGTAGGTTGGAGCAGCCCTTGGGGCTGTCCTCACTCATGCTAGGAGCTGTGTGTGATGGCGTGTCGAGGAGCCCCCCCCACCCTGCACCCCTGTCCGCAGCCAGATGTGACTCTGTCAGGCTGTAGAATAGAAGGTTTATTTGCTTCTCAGGGATACAGCGCCGCACAGGCTCAACGTTGCCACAGGAGCCAGGGCAGGCCGCCTTAGTTCTCTTCGGGGGAAGGGGTTCACAGGCCCCTGAACCCCCCGCTCCTGGACTTAGTCTGCTTCTAGGGTTGCCAGATGGTTTCAGGAAAAAATACCGAAAAAACCCCATGCCAGGAAAAAGTTTATTGAGCAAAAAAAAAGGACCCCGAAAGTTAAGCCAAGCCCAAAAAACTGCCATCTTGCTCCCTGCGCCAGGCCAGACAGCTCCCCTGAGGAACCTGGTAAGCACTAGGGCTGCCGGGCTGCTTCCACATTGAGTCAGATAGCCCGGGATTTTCGCCTCCTGGCTGGGAAAATATCAGAAAGTACCGGACAGTTTAGGTGTCCAGTATTTTCTGAATTTTTTTACCGGACAGGACGCAAAAATACCAGACACCTGACAACCCTATCTGCTTTCTTCATGCTTCCCTCCGCCAAGACTGCCCCAACCCCCAGCAGCTCAGCCCGCAGGTAGCCACACCCCTTGCTTTGTTTCAGGTTCCACCACCTAGGCCAGCTGTCAGGCTGCTGGGACATGTCTGCGTGCCTCCCCTCAGGGACCATCCCCCGCTGGATCCCTCACACCCAGAGTCTCTGCAGACCAGCACAGGCCAGTAGGGGTCACCCACAGCACAACACAGCAACCAGTGTGGATCCAGGGCCACAAGAGGGTACAGCACACCCACTACATCACATTGTGCTGCTTGCTGAGGCACCCCAGAATCCTGTGTGTGCGAAGGTGAGGGTGCACGCCGTGGTGAGACCCAAGGCGTGGTCAGAACGTGGCCCTTGGGGGGGACGGGTGCCTGCAGACCCCACTGCAGACCTCGTTAGCCTGCACTGGGAATGAGGTAAGTTGCTGTGCATGTGCAGCAGCCAGATGAGGTGACAGACCAGTAAGTGTTAGGGCCCGCTGAGGAGGGAGTGTGTATCTTCTAAATAAGAAACTGTCATGTTTCCCCTGGGGTGTAGTTGAGGTCTAATGACTGTGTGAAAACAAACCCCTGCACAGTAGCCTAAATAATTTCCCCAGAGAGAGGCCGTGCTGGGCTCTGGCTTCAGTTGCTCGCACGACGTGCTGTTTCTTCCCCCTAGCCACGGGCATCCGGAGCTGGGGCGCTGCTCCTAATGAGAATGTGCTGCAGACCAGTTCAGGGGGCGTCACTCTCCCTTTGCAGCCCAGCATTTGGGGCCATGTCCTCAGTTAAAGGGCACTGTCTGAGTCCCGTCTCTGGGCGCTCTGCCTGGGGCTGGTTTGTGTTTCATGGGTGAAATGCAGCTGGTCTCCATGAATAGTACGGTGAGTCACTCCCTCGGATTCTCGGGAGGGGCAGTGCCTGGTGTTAGGCTGTGCCTGCATTAAGGTGCCCTTTGCCCTGACGCTTCTCCCGAGGAGCTGCTGGTGGCAATGTCACTCCTTTGGAGAGAGCTCTGCCCTTCAGATGGAGCTTGCTTCTAGCTTGGCTCTGCTGCTGACTCCTCTAGAACTTTGCTGAGGGGCTCCTTAGCTTTCTACTGGCCTGACTGGGCAGCAGGACTGGATTGAGGAAGAAGAGCCCAGTGAGCGGGTGGAACCCACTGCAATGTTAGGGTGGGGGTGAAATGGGTGCAGCTGGCGAAGTAGTCAAGCCCATGGGGGCTGGGGAGTGGAGAAATTGCAGCTGAAGAGGAAGGCAGGCCTGGTGCAGTTAATTGCCCATCCCTAGGCCCCTCTCCTGATCGCCCATCCTCAGTGTCCTCCGGTTCTGCTTTCCACATGCAAAGAGCAACCCCAAATCTTTTCTAGTTTAGTCTAGCTTTGGGCTGTGTCCTAAATTAAAGCGCACGACCCGAGCCCTTTGAAAAAAGAAGGAACTAATGTTCTGCTCTGTGTGGGAGAAGCTCAGTGTCACTATAGAGCCATGGTGAGCTCCTTTGGCGCATTGATCTCAAGGAGGCTTCCTACTTAGCTACAGGCTGCAGAAAATGGAAGAATATATTTGCCCGTTCTTGTGTCCCCTACGAATCTCAGTTCTCCCTGCTCTAGGCATGCATGCTCGCTTTCGAGCCACGGTGAGCTCCTTTGGCGCAGTGATCTCAAGGAGGCTTCCTACTTATCTACAGGCTGCAGAAAATGGAAGAATATATTTGCCTGTTCTTGTGTCCCCTATGAATCTCAGTTCTCCCTGCTCTAGGCATGCATGCTCGCTTTCACCTGCCTTTGCATCATGTGAGCCGTTTCCTGTTCAAAGCAGAGTTCTACTGAATTGGTGTCTCTTCTAGTCTCAGTGCCTCTTAGTCTGTTCTCTCACCCTGGTGCTTTTTGGCTGAGAAGCCAATTGCTGAAGCCATCTTAGGCTTTTTTTAACCTAATGTCAGGCTGCAAAGCCTACACCATGGCTGTGTCTACACTGGCGTGATCTTGCGCAAAAGCGGCCGCTCTTGCGCAAAAACTTGCTGCCTGTCTACACTGGCCACGTGTTCTTGCACAAGTAATGTGATGTTTACTGATGTTTACATATGTTCTTATGCTTCTTGCGCCAGAACTCTGACGCTCCCGCTCAGGAATAAGCCCTTTTGCGCAACTGTTCTTGCGCAAGAGGCCAGTGTAGACAGGCAACATGAATTTCTTGCATCAGAGCTTTCTTGCGTAAGAGAGCATCCACACTGGCAAGGATGCTCTTGCGCAAAAGCACATGCCAGTGTAGACGTTCTCTTGCGCAACTACTTTAATGCAAGAACTCTTGCACTAAAGAGTTTTTGTGAAAGATCACACTAGTGTAGACATAGCCCATGTGTGACTACTTGACTAGTTGCTTTCCCTCTCCCCCTTTGCTTAAAAGCTGGTTCTCCCCAGCACCATCTCTGCCAGGGGAAAGGAGGGACAGGAGAGTTAGAGGCACAGCGGGGGACCTGGCATCAGCTGGGAATCAGCCCTTGGTCCCCCACTGCGCTTCTGCCTTTTAAATGTAGTAAGAGCCAGGTAGCTGTTACGACATTTAAAAGGCAGAGCTGCGGCGGGGTTAGCTCCCGGGGCCAGGAGCTAACTCCATGCAGCTCTGCATTTCTTCTCCTTATCAACTAATCGAACGGTCAATGGAAAGTCTACCGACTACTCGATTAGCTGATTAAACAAAATGTAACATCCCTAATGTGTGCTTCTGAGCAGGGATGTGGACAGGTAACCAGGAGCAGCCTCCCTCCTCCATGGGATCCTGCCTAATCGGTTAAAAGGGTTTAACCAGTTAACGGATTAACCGGGCTTTTGCATCCCTACTTCTGAGACACACGCATGTAAGATGTAGATTGACGGCCTGGCGGCCTGCTCGGTTGCTTGATTTACTTTGTCTCTTTCAGGCATTCAAAAGCTTTGAACAACTGGCCCGTCAGGACGACGAGAGGAGGCAGCAGGAGCTTGTGGAGGAGATGAGGAAAAGGGAGGAGGCAGCAGCGGCAGCTGAGAGGACGCAAGTGCCCGCCGTGGCTCAGGAAATTGAGATTGACTCAGCAGCAGAGCCTGCCGCTGGCCCAGATGGTGGGGCAGCTGTCAGGCCTCAGGAGTCCACCGCAGCAGAGGAGCCAGCCGAAGCGGTGGGCAGCTCTCCGGTAGCAGAGCCCCCAGGAGCTGCTGCCCCCGTGGAGTCCCAGCCACCTGCAGTGCCCAAGTAAGGGTCTCTGTTAGTCCTTCCCTTGTGTCTGTTGCAAGCCTAATGGTGCATTCTGAGTAGGGGCAGGTGACGGGGTTAGTGGAGGCTGCTCACGCTCCTCCCCACAGAGAACGCTGCTTTGTTTGGGCTCAGGGCAGCGCCAGCAGCACACCGATTCAGAGAAGCATGGCAGAAGCCTTCAGTTTGGTTACCTTTGCCCCTTTCTGGGCACTTCAGTCTCTGCTCTCTCCTCTGTAAGCAGACGTGGCTGTTAGTGTCTCCCTGTTCACAACACTGCTGTGTGGTGTTGGCTTAGCAGGATCGCACGGCCTTCAGTCACCCAGAGTCTAGGGCCACACAGCAATGTGGGCATGGTCCTGTGCTGGTGCCTCTCCACTGACTCTGGTACTAAACTGCCTTTCAGTGCATTGGGGAAAATCTGAGCAGCTATCCCATAATGCCTGGGGGGGTCTTAGATGCCCAGCTCTGATTTGCTGTCAAACTCCCCCAGTCCGCTGTGAGCACTCAGCAGCTGTGCCCGGAGAGCAGAGACACCGGAGTGGTGCACTTTGGGAAGTTACTGCACAGAGAGCTGGGAGCAGAGAGGATCAGCCCAAGTGGTTATACCAGCACAGGTAGGGCCCAGTTACTCAGCTAAATAAATTACCTTGTCCCAGCCAAGGCTGCAGGCACAGGTACCTGAGAGCTGATTTACCCTGTGGCCTGTTGCACAAGCCACGTATAAAGCTCACAAAACCCCTTGTGGGCTGCAGTGTCAGCACCAGCACATCAAGTTGTCTTCTGTTGTTCTGGGGTTTCTAACTGCCCTGTGGCATATTCCCTGGCTCCGGGCACGGCCAGTGCGTGCACTGCAGAGCAAAGCTGGACTCTTCCCCCCTCGCCGCCTTAAAACCTCTCTACAGGTGTGTCTTACTCCTGGGTGAGTGAGCTATAGTCTCCTGGCGTGGGCTCCTCTCAAACAATGGCAAGTGACGTTTTGCAAAGCTCAGTCAAAATGTCTCCCTGTTACCAGAAATGTTGTGGGGTGGAGCTGTGTCTATTGCAGCCGGCTCTGCTCCAAGCAATACCCCCCTGTCACTCCACAGGAGCTGTTCTAAGAACGTTGAGTGATCTGAGGTTCCCAGCAGTTGCTGTGCTGCCAGGGCATGTTCTGTGGGGAGCTGGCTGCCCTGCCCAGCCCACAAAGCCCAGGGGATGGGAGTGAGGATGGTTGGGACTGCAGGGCACAGATACTGACAAGACAAAGCATTTACTTCTACATCATCCATTCACATCTACAGCGGATTGAGTGAAAGTTGTTACCAGCTGGTGGCTCTTTAACTGTCTTTTTTAAATGAAATCACGTGATAAATAATGGACAGGAGCCCACTTCATAATGGGGCCTTGTGATCCTATTAATGTCCTCCTAAGGGATGCCAAGAATTGAACGGGCCGCCGAGATTCTAGTAACGTCATGCTGGTTAGGTGGGAGCAGTTTGCACTTCTGTTGCTGGGGCTGTTCTTGTGATGGGGGCTGTCTCTCTCGCTGGTATCTGTTCAGTGATGGGGGCTGTCTCTCTCTCTCTCTGGTATCCGTTCAGTACTTTTCAGCAGCACCAAGTTAACTGTAAACAGCAAAGATAAGGCAACACCCGGCTAGTGAAGTATTAAGAGCCAAACGCAGACTCTCTGGGCTGAATGTTTCCATGTAATCCTCAGTGACAGGGATGCTCCATGCCTCCCTGAGGAGGAGACAGTACCAGAAGAAAAGGATTACCTCAGCTCAGCAGGTTTTGGCTGTTGTGCTAGGGGAAGGGGAGGGGAGGGGATGGGTCGGGTCTCTGATTCATGATGTAGCTTTCCTGTGGGTCGAGAGAAATGCTGCCTGAGGGGTGGAGCCAAAATGTTTTGCCGCCTTGGCTGCTCCCGTTACTTTATTTTGGGTGGATTAAACATTACCGTTTGAGGGAGTGGGAGGCAAATGAACAGCTCCGTCTGCCCCATGCCTCAGCGCAGAACGTGCACAGAACATCGTTCCTGTGAGTCTGTGGGTGCTAAGAGTTCAGAACTTAGCAGGCTGGGTTCTTTTCTAACCTTCTGGCATCCCTTAGAGCAGAACTGTCACCCAGAGGCAGCCCAAGGGTTGTGTGGCATTTGCAGGACCCCGAGATGGGTCCCTTCCCCTCCTCAAAAAAGTTTCTGTCCATTCTACAATGTGTGTTTGGCAGGGCCATCCCCTCATCAGATGAGTGTTGCAGGCAAAGGATTATGGGAAGTCCTTGCATCGTTTTCTCCAAACACTGTACCAATGATGGCTAGTGCTTGGGCCACATGAGTGGCCCTCCTTCATCTCAGTGGGTTGCAAGATTGTCGTATCCAGCACGGTCTCCCAGGATACGGTAGTTTTGCTCACTGTGCTTGTGTACCTAGAATTTGCAGGGTGTGAACTATAGTGGCTCTGATTGGATGCAGAGGCAGTGCACGGCCCCCACAGTCAATGTTGTGTGCAGTCAGCATGCACCTCGCTGCGTGGGCCTTTGCTTTAAGTGGGTCTCTTTAGCAGTACGGTAGGAAAAACACTGCTTGGACAGACACCAGTGGAATCTGGCAACCCTGTGCATGGGCAGTGGCAAACAAAATGTCGCACAGGCCACCCCAGGGCCCTGATGGGCCGCAGATTGCCCACCAGGACACCTTGGAGCGAGAAAAGGCTACGTAGGCATGAAAAGTTAGGGGTGTTGCATTACAGTAAAGACTCTCTCAGTCTACCAGCCCCGTTGACTGCACCTTCAGAAGTGGCTGGCCATGCAGTAGCAGTAGTGGCGACCACTCTCCAGTGCAGCTGGCTGTACTCATTCCAGTCCCTTTCACAGGTTTACAGCAGGGCTGGTGTGCATGCCGCGAGGCACAAGCTGAAAGGGCTGCTTGTCTTGAGGAATGCCTGGGGTGGCTTGCCTCGAGGTGCACAGCAAATGGGTCTCCTTTTCATGCTGCGGAATAGGGCGGTTGGTACCAGATGTCTTTGCCAGCACAGTCTAACTTGCTTGCATGCTGAGCTGGTGTGTCAGCAAGTGGAAAGATGGGAAGAGGCTGGAATAGAGCAATCCCTGGACTAGGAATCAAGTGGCTGAGTGGATTGTTGACAGCCAGCGAGCCTTCCACCTCCAGATTTCCTGCCACACGTGGTGTATGTCTGGAATGAATGAGGCCCGTGGGGGAAGAGGCCAGTGGAACGAGAGGCTGGTCATACTGATTCCCGTGAGGAGTCTGACCTAGACTGTCTTTGGTCCACCCAACAGAACCACGTGGCCTTCTGCCTCCCACTTGCTAGGACAGCAGATGTGACCCTACGGGTTTCTGGGTTATTCCCATGTGGGGCCAAATGTAGCGAGTGGGAAGATTGGAAGGAACAGGAGCTTCAGGGCAGTGGAAAGCAAGCAGGAGGAAAGGCTGATGTCCCGCTGCCTGGGCTGTAGTTGTCCTGTGGGTGAAACTTCATCCTCTCTGTCAGTCTGGCACCTTTCACTAGCATGACATGTACAAAAAACCCTGATCCCTTGAGCCTCCGTCCTTCCATGTAGCCACAGCCTGGGCTAGCATGGCTTACACTGACATTTTGTAAGGCTAGGGTTGAAAAAACAAAACACCCCCCCACAAACCACCAAAAAATGAACAAACCCCTGAATGCAAACTATTAGCTCCCCAGGTTTCAATTCAGATTGATTATGTTCATAGACTGGGACTAAGGTTTGACTTGTTGAGTTGTCCCCTTGCTGTAGGGATAGTAGCTGCTGGGAATAACAAGTATTTAAGTTTGGGTACGGACACAGGGCACCTGCCCCGCACTGGCCCTTTAAGGGTTAAAACCCAGCACTGTGAGAGGGGTAGGGGTGGAGCCAGCCATGTCTCTGGCCTGGCAGCCAGGCCCCTCCTGCTCCCCAGCCAGAGCAAGAGTGAGTCTGTCTGTCTCTCCCCCTCCATCCCCTCCCCCCCCCCCCCGCCCTGGGCCCTAATCTGCTCATACTGGCCACAGCTGCTGGCTGCACAGCTCCAGCCCTCTCCCAGGGCTAAGCTTTAACCCTTAAAGGGCCAGTGCAGGGCAGCTGCCCCATCACAGGTTCTTAAATCCCCATAAACAAAAGTCCTCTGAACAGATGTCTGGACTAGGGATGTTAAATATCGGTTAATTGAATAGTCAAGTAACCTCATGAATTCTGCTCATACTGGCCACAGCTGCTGGCTGCACAGCTCCAGCCCTCTCCCAGGGCTAAGCTTTAACCCTTAAAGGGCCAGTGCAGGGCAGCTGCCCCATCACAGGTTCTTAAATCCCCATAAACAAAAGTCCTCTGAACAGATGTCTGGACTAGGGATGTTAAATATCGGTTAATTGAATAGTCAAGTAACCTCATGAATTCTTATTGGTTAGTCAACTATTCTATAGTCCCTGGGGGTGCAGGCAGGGCCGGCAGCAGTGTGGGGTGCCAGGCAGGAGCTGGTCTGTGAGGGGAGCCAGTTTAAAACCCAGCTCCCCTTACGGACTGGCTGCTTGTCACCCTGCGCTGCTGCCTCTGATAAAGAGGCAGCAGTGAGGGGTGGCAGAAGCCCCTATCTGTGCGGGGCAGGTCTGAGCCACGCTGCCTGCCCATCCAGCTCCTAATTCACTTTAAATGCAGAGTCACAGTGGTGGTAGGTCCCAGACCCAGTGTGAGCCAGGACTGAGCCGGGCTGCTGGCCAGCCTGCTAAAAAATGTACTGGTTGAGGGGGAGTAATGCGTGTAGTCTATAGCATTCACCTATAAGCTTTTGCTTATCGATTAATTGACTGCACTATTCCATCCCTGGTCCGGACTGGGGAAAATAAGTAGAATGAGAAGTGATACTAAAGGAAGGAGATTAGGACACATCTCAGTATCAACAATGTGTGAGCAGATGGGGACAGTGTCTGTTGGAGAGATGAAAAGAGCAGGTACATATCTGTGTAGCAGAAAGGGTACATCTGTGTTTTGTGAGCAGTGTTG